AAGTTATGTCGTCACACAGCCACCGCGGGAATTAAAATCATTTTTTCATGTCCGTGCCCTCACCAGGGGACCTTGTACTGATTTAACTGTCAGTGTCGGGCATTGTGGGGCTGAAGCCCCACTTCCTGGGGCCAACAGCCAGAGTCTCAGGCTACGTAAGTCACACAGTGCCTATATGGACACTGCATCAACCTAACGACATTGAGCTAAAAGCAACGCCTCTTGTGGAAGTGGAGTTATGAAGTCGGTGTAGTGGGCGAGTTACATGGGTGGGAGCTACATTTTAGTGTAGCTGCTTACCGAGTTAGGTCGATCTAAGCATTTCATCAACAAACTCAGGTTTAGAGTCGTAGATTCCCAGGCCAGAAGGGACTTTTGCGATGATCTAGTCTGAGCTCCCGTGTAGCACAGGCCAGAGAAGTGACCCCAATAATCCCTGTTGGAACCAGAGCAGATCTCCTAGAAAACCAGCCAGTCTTGAGATAAAAATTGGCAGGGAGGAGAATCCGCCACAGCCTGTGGTGAGCTGCTCCAATGGTTAATTCCCCTCATGGTTAAATCTGACACCTTCTTTCCAATCTGAATGGGGGTAAATTCCACTTCCAGCCACTGGATCTTGTTTGATCTTTGTCTGCTGCTTACATCAGGCCCAGCAACTGGGAGGTGCCTGACTCCACTGCTGAACCGAATGCACACAACCCACCCGGACTAGCACAGTGGTCCCAGCCCTTCACCCCTTGCCCTGAGTCATTACCCGCACTCACCCCTCACTACGCCCTGGAGATTGAATCACAAAGGTCCCCAGAGCGCTGACAGTCCCCATGGCAAGATGCTCTCTGTGCCCCGCCGCTGATGCAACTGACACAACTCAGAGCTGAAATGAGGCCAGTTCCAAAACTTCAGGCTTGTGGGTCTGTATCCTCAAAACAGAGTGACACTTGTGCCAAGATGTTTCAGCTCCCCACCCTCACACTCACTGGAGCGGCCCAGGGTGCTGGCCGAGCCGTGTCTATCGAGGGCCCAGCAGGGCTCAGGTTGGGTGGGTATGTGCCCAGGGCTCTTGGCTGTAATTGATGCTGATGCCCTTGTCTCCACTGTACCTCCCTCTGCTCCGTGAAGGTCGGCAGTGAAGGCCAACAGGAGTTCCAGGAGATCGCCTCTGAGCCCACCAGGAAGCATATCTTCGGGGTGGACAATTTCAACACCCTCGAGTGCATCGAGACCCACCTGCAGGACAAGATCATCATCTTAGAAGGTAATAGAGCTGGGGCAGGGGTCGCAGTGGCCCTGGGGCTCTAGAAATGGGTTTTCAAGGTTGAGATGTCCAGCATATTGGGCTGCATTAGTAGGAGCATTGCCAGCAGATCGAGGGAAGTGATTATTCCCCTCTATTTGGCACTCGTGAGACCTCATCTGGAGTATTGCATCCAGTTTTGGGGGCCCCACTACAGGAAAGATGTGGGTAAATTGGAGAGAGTCCAGCAAAGGTCAACAAAAATGATTAGGGGGCTGGGGCACATGACTTATGAGGAGAGGTTGAGGCAACTGGGTTTATTTACTCTGCAGAAGAGACTAGTGAGGGGAGATTTTATAGAAGCCTTCAACTACCTGAAGGGGGTTCCAAAGAGGATGGAGCTCAGCTGTTCTCTGTGGTGGCAGATGACAGAACAAGGAGCAATGGTCTCAAGTTGCAGTGTGGAAGGTCTAGGTTGGATATTAGGAAACACTATTTCACTAGGAGGGTGGTGAAGCACTGGAATGGGTTACCTAGGGAGGTGGTGGAATCTCCATCCGTAGAGGTTTGTAAGATCCAGCTTGACAAAGCTCTGACTGGGATGATTTAGTTGGTGTTGGTCCTGCTTTGAGCAGGGGGTGGGACTAGATACCTCCTGAGGTCCCTTCCAACCCTGATATTCTATGATTCTGTGGGACAAGCAGCTGCCGGGAATCCAGAGCTGGGAGTGGTGGGAGCCTATGAATGGTCCAGTGGGATATACCTATATGGGAGCAGTGGGAAGCTGAGTTTCCAAAACATACCCAGAACCTTTGGGGACATGAATGATGCTTCCCTCGGTAAGAACAAACCCAAAGATTTCCCCTTACCTATTTATACAGCCCCTGCTCCTCACCCCAGAGGGGGCTTCCTCTTAGTTCTGGGGAAGGGATCTCTGTGTAGCACTGTTTGAGACACCCTGACACCCCAATATTCACCACTGTCATGTAATTAGGATATGGTTTGTACAAACTATGTCTTTTGAGGGATTATTCTAAAAGTCTTGATCTGCTGAACATTAATCTCATTGGATTGTGTGTGTTATCATTCTATGTGAAGTTATGAAGTTTGGCTACGTATGTGTTACTGAAACGTGTGGTGAGGTTCACAACACCCACAAGCTGCCTTTCAGGTACAACGGTAAAAAGTCCAAACAGTGTTAATGGCTCATAGAGTAAATTCACATAAGCACACGGATTACCCCAGGAAGTGGGTACAATACAAAACTTCTCAGAGATAGCACTACACAATGGGAACTGTTTGGCCTAGGTCACAGCAAAAGAGCTTTCCAGCGAGTGGGAAGAAGATATAAAAAGGGGACAATGATATCATGGGGGACCTCACTCTCCCTACAACAACACACCTGGAAATATCTGAGGGGCAAGGACGGAACTGTGGGAAGTGATGGTCCAAGGCTAGAGGGATTTTTAGCCTGAGTATGAAAACCTGGAAAAGCCAAGGCAACTTGAGCCTTAAGAATGTGCTGCCTGTTTATCACTCAGGGTGAGAATCTCCTGATTTGTATCCTACCAGTCTAGTGTGTTATGCTGAATTTGCAAGTTTTCTTTATGTATTAAAGTAATCTGCTTTGTTCTGTTTGCTTTCCCTTATAATCACTTACAATTTACCTTTTGTAGTTAATAAAGTTATTTCTTGTTTATAGTAAGACCCAGTTTGTGCAATTCATACCTGGGGGTGCAAGAAGCGGTGCACATCTCTCTCCACATTGAGGGAGAGGGTGAATTTTTAGGATCTTGCGCTGTGCAGATCTCTCTGGACAGTGTAAGACAGTATTATTTCGAGTTTATTTCCCCAAAGGGTGTGCACGTGAGTTCCGGGTGAGTCCTCTCACATAGAGCTGACTTCAGTCTGTGTCTGGCGCTAGGTGTGGCCCTACCTGTGTGTGTGTGCTGCACCAGACTGGAGAGCCTAATTCAGCAAAAAAGGAAGAGGGAATCCAGGCTGGTGGAGCAGGAGAGGCTCAGTGAAAACCCAGTACATCAGGTGGCATCAGAAATGGAGTGGGCCAACCCATCACGCTGTTGTATGGCTGTTTCCCATGTCACCTCCCCATGTCTCTCTTTTCCTTTGAGGTTATTCATCTCAGGTCATCACAGCCAATGGGCAGACCACCTACATGGTCGGGGCCCCTCTATGCCAAGGCACCGGCAAAGTCATCCTGTTCAGCAGAGATACCAAGGGTGGGGAATGGACACCCAGATCAGAGCTGTTGGGAGAGCAGGTATGGGGAGCGTTACAGGTAATGTGGAGTGTGGGTGTGAGAGAAGGAGAGCACTGGAGGAAGCCTGTAAGCTTTTGACATTATGTAATATTTGTGTTTGGCTTCACCTTCAGGAACGATTTGGTCAGAGAGCCTCAGGTAGGGGATAAACTTGACTGGTTTAGAGAACTGCACCACAGCTGACATTCAGCATCTCTCCAATATCCCACTTCTGTTACCTTCACTTACAGTCTAGACGGAACTGATGAGGTGGATACGGACAGAGGCCCAGACCCAGCAAGGGACTTAGGCATTGTGATGCTGCAGGGAGGCACCTGACTCTGACAGCGATCAATTAATGTGGTGGGGAAAGAGAGACACAGGGACTCTTCACGTACCCCACATGTTGGGTCTCATCCAATAGGCATGCTCAGAGCTGCCAAGATATTCATAAACTAGCTGTAGGAGACAAGAGATGTTTCCCATATAGCCTGGGGGTTAAAGTCCTCACCTAGGACATGGGTGACCCCTGGTTCAAATCCCTGCTTTGTCTGATTAGGAAGAAGGATTTAACCAGGTAGCTGCCCTCTCTCAGGCTATAGGGTGGCTGTGATTTGTACATGTTCTGTGGCCCACCTGATACTTAGTTACTTAATTAAAGTGGAACAACTTTAACAGGGGAGACTGAGGGAGCCCATATTAGAGTATCCCACAGCTCAGGGGTTAGAGCACTGAACTGAGAAATAGCAGGTGCCTGTTCAATTCCTTCTCCTCTGACCACACCTACCGGAGGTGGAGGAGTTAGATGGAGGAGCGCCTGTCTTCCCCTAGTTTGTGGATCATGCTGGGATGTGGGGGGGAAATAGGCACCGGGCAACTGCATGCTTAGAGTAAGACAGTAAGGCACAAGCCCTGCCCTTGAGACAGCAACAAAGGAGCTTCTGCTTCAAAAACTTAGGCAGCAAGTCAGGTTAGGCACCTACAGGGGTCAGCAGCAGCCAGGCAGAGGTTTTGCGGTTCACAGAGGCAGTTAAGTCCAGGGGGTTAAGCACATAAGTACCTTTGTGGATCTAGGCTAGAGAGACTCAGGCAAGGAAATAATATTACTAATGGTTTAACAGTGTCTGTAAAAGATCACATTACATGAACAATTGCCTATACATACCACCTAAACAAAACTTATAACAGTGGCTCCGTCAGTGATGAAGTTGACTTGTGATAGCCCAACCTCTAAAAAGAATTGCACCACAGTTAGATCTTGGAGGACCGGGGATGCTGAATGCTATCTGCCTGTCCATTCAAGAACACTTACAGAGATAGCACCACTGGCTGCACTGAAGGAGAGTGAGGCTAAGGATGGAATGGACATTGGGACTGAATCCTTATCCCCAGAGGGTGAGAAGGGTCCTAGTGGGAGAAGAAGCAGGAGGTGACTAAATTGAGGGGGTGGCTTATCTGCCTCTCCAGATTGGCTCGTATTTCGGGAGTACACTCTGTGCTGTGGACCTTGACAGAGATGGGAACACGGACCTGGTTCTAATCGGAGCCCCTTTGTACCATACACCTCTGAATGGAGGACGCGTCTATATCTGCCCAATTAAATTGCCGGTAAGAAAGAGGAGTGCAGCCATGGGGAAGATGGGTGGCTGGGGATTCTTGTTTGTCTGGACTGCTGTGATGCTGTGACAATTCATATTGCAGTAGGGGGCATGGTGCTCCAGGAAGCAGGGTAGAGGCTCAGTAGGGGGTGCTCTTCCCTCCCAGTCAGTTCTGACCCCAGGCCCCAGAGTCGGGAGGGGGGACACACACTGTGCTGCTGAGAGAGGGAAAGGAGCTTGGTAGGGATTACTCTCTGATGACAGCAAGTGCTGATCCTTTCCCCATGTGTCTTTTGGATTGGGCCTGCAGGGGACGACGATGATCTGCACCAAGACACTACATGGGCAGACGGGGGAAGTGTCTGGGCACTTCGGGGCCAGCATGTCTGAAATCGGGGACATCAGCGGGGACGGACAGACGGATGTGGCCATCGGGGCTCCCATGGAGAATGACAACCGCGGGGCCTTGTACATCTTCCATGGGGAAAAGGGAGGCCTCAGTCCCCAGTACAGACAGGTGAGCCCAGCTCCTATGGGGAGGGGTCAGTACACAGCCCTGAAGAGACATCATGGGGTCCCACAGCCCCCTAGTGCCCATTATACAGGATACTCACCCCTTTCCTAGCCCTTATCCTCTGGTGCCCCCTAGTGCTCATTATATAGTACACTCACCCTTTCTGCATCCCTTATTGCTCTCTGCCCTACAGCGCATAGTGGGGTCACAGTTTCCCAGCAAGCTGCACTACTTTGGCCAGGCTGTCAGCAGCGGGACAGATCTGACGGGGGACGGACTGCCGGACATCGCGGTGGGGGCACAAGGGCAGGTCCTGCTGCTGAGGTAAGTAACTCTGTGTCGTTGCACTGCTCCGCACGACAGTCTCAGGCCTTGTCTACACTAGAGAGTATTTTCGATACAAGTTATGCCGACGATCTAAAAGTGCAATAATTTCATTGTTATTCCATGTCCACACTTCGGTCCTTGTGTCAGCAGAGCGCATCCACACTTGGTTCTGTAGCAGTGGAGAGCAGTGCACTGTGGGTACCTACCTCAGTGTGTTACTCACCACATTTCACAGCTAGGTGTTGTGGGAAGGTGGAGTGGATTGCAGTGCATCATGGGTGTGGAATCAATGTCCCATGATGCAGTTCTTTCCGTCCCAGCATTCCATGGGCTTTTGACTGCATTCTGTGGCTTTTTTCAATGTTTACTGTGCACCTGCCACCTCTGTCTGAAAAGATGGATCCTGCACTGATCTCTACTGTTGTGGTCACTGTTACGAACACATCGTGGATGGTCATGCAGTATATCATGAGCTCCCAATCTGAACAGGAACCAGAGTTGCCTGATCCGCTGTGTGCCATGGAAAGAAACAACACCAGATTACTTTTGGCGTTCATGGAGCAGCTGAACACAGTGGACTGTAGCTTTTGAGCTTGGGAAACAAGCACTGATTGGTGGGATCACATTGTTATGCAGCTCTGAGATGACGAGCAGTGGGTGCAGAAAACCACCTTCCTGGAACTGTGTACAGAGCTCATCCCAGCCCTGCAGTGCAAGGACACCAAAATGAGAGCCGCCGTCTCGGTGGAAAAGTGTGTGGCGATTGCAGTGTGGAAGCTGGCGACCTTTGACTGCTACCTGGTAGTTGGGAATCAGTTTGAAGTCCATTGCAAGTGTGCAGGGCCATTAATCGAATCCTGCTACAAAGGACCATGACTTTTGGCAATGTACGTGAAATAGTGAATGGCTTTGTGGAAATGAGATTCCCTAACTGCAGCATATAGCTAGATGGAACGCATATTCCAATTTTGGCCCCCTGACCATCTTGTAACAGAGTACATCAACAAAAAGGGGCATTTCTCTATGTTATTGAAGGCACTTGTAGATCACCGTGGGTGTTTTGCTGACATCAACGTGGTGTGGTCGGGGAAGGTGCATGACGTGCACATCTTCAGGAGCACCGGCCTGCACAGAAAGCTGCAAGCAGGGACTTTCTTTCCAGACCAAAAGATTCCAGTGGGGGATGTTGAAATGCTCATCGTGATCCTGGGAGACCCAGCATATCCCTTACTCCCATTGCTCATGGAGCCTTAAATGGGAAACCTGGACAACAGCAAGGAGCGCTTCAACAACAGACTAAGTAGATGTAAAATGACTGTGGAATGTGCCTTTGGCAGATTAAAAGTGCGCTGGCGATACCTTTAGGGAAGGTTAGATCTTAGTGAGGAAAACATTCCAATGGTCAGAGCTGCCTGTGGGGCTAAGGGTGAAAAGCTTGCTTGGGGTGGAGTGCTGAGCCAGATCACCTGGATGCTGATTTTGAGCAGCCAGATAACATGGCTATTGGAGGGGCACAATGGGGGCTATTCGAATCAGGGAGCCTTTGAGGCAACATTTTGAGAATGAGAACCAGTAATCTGCCATGCTTCATTAAGCTCAGTTATCTGTAGTGTAGACAAGACCACACACAGCAGCAATACATTGTGTGTGTCTGTCTGTCTCACCTGTACTGGAGAAAGGCAAAATAATAGCTTTGCTGCAGAGCTGGTGAGTTGCATGAGCCCGTGGTGCTCGGGCTCCAGGAATATTCTGTACCTAGGGGCCTGTCTCCACCAAAGTCTGGGTTCGAGTCCCACCTGCTGTCCCCCTACACCTCCCGGGTTCCTCCCCTGCCCTTGCTCCTCTTGGCTGAGGTGGGGCTGAGGGTGGGGGAAGAGGTGGTGTTCACAGCACTGTGGATTTGTGGTTGGGGGTGCTGAGCATAGCGTGTCCAGGGAGTGTGGTGTGGGGGGGCTCTGTTGCAACCCAAACCCCTCCCGCACCCAAACTTCCTCCCAGAGCCTACACCCCCAAGTCCCCTCGTCCTTCCAAACTCCCTTCCAGACCTGACACCCCCTCCTGAACCCATACCCTCTGCCCCAGCCCAGAGCCCGCACCCAGCACCCAAACTCCCTTCCAGATCCTTAGGCAGGTGTGAGTGTGGCAGGGTGTGTGGGAGGACAGGACTTGGACCTGTTCTGGGCACCACCAAAAATTATGCAAACCTGCTGCCCCTGCTTTGCTGCTCCCTTATCTGCCTCCCAGCATATCCTCTAGTAGACCTACATATCCATAACTTGTCTCCCTGGTGTGCTGCGAGCACATCCAGGCTGGGGGGGGAATCTCTGGGGAGGGAGGGGGTCTGGCCCCATTGCAGAGAGCAGATGGGTGATGGTTCTGTTCCCCCCATGGCAGGTCCCGGCCGGTGCTCAGAGTCAGTGTCTCCATCAGCTTCCAGCCTCCAACCATCCCCACCTCGGCCTTCAACTGCCAGGAGCAGGAGCAGCTCAGCACAGAGGCCAGCAGGGCAGAGGTCTGCTTCACCGTCACTAAGAGCACCATGGACAGCCTAGGTCAGACCAAACCCATCCCCCGCTCCCCTGCACTCTGAGTCAGCCAGTTCCCTGCCCTGGGGCTGGACTCGAGCCAGCTCCGCCTAGAGGGGAAAGGCCCCATGTCCCATTTCCCCTTGAGGTTCCCACTGTGTCTCTCTCTGTCCCTCATTTCCCCTCCCACATAGGTGACGGGATCTACAGCATCATCCAGTACAGCCTGGCCCTGGACCCCGGGTGGACGAAGATCAGAGTCACCTTCGACTCCACCAGCCCCGTCCTGAGCAGGGAGCTGCGGCTCAGCATTGAGAAGAAATGTGAGACGTACCGGATAATGTTACCTGTGAGTGCTGGGGGGTTAGGTCCTAACTCCTTCCCCTCCCGCTGCGTCTGCCCCTCCAACCCTGCCCCTTGCTCCCATGTCACCCAGAGAACAAACTTCTCTCTGGGTCCCAGCTCCCCTTTCCTTTCAGGGACCCAACGTGTTTTTGTTTCCCCCAGCTCTGTCCCGAAGACATTCTGACCCCCATCACCCTACGCTTCAACTACACCCTGACGGGGGAGCCCATCACTGCCGCCGGAGGCCTCAGACCCATCCTGAGCGAGGACTCTGCGCTGGTGTCTGCAGGCTTGGTAAGGTGCCATAGCCATGCCCCACGGTGGGTCTGCTGCAGGGATCGAACCAGTGACGTTGCCATTCAAAAGTGAGAGACTGAAAAGTGCAGAACCAGCAGCAGGTTCCTAAACCCATTACAATGTGTGGACACTAGAGGGCGACAGAGATGGATGCCCAGTTTACCTTGGCTAGGGACCTGTCTCCACCTGGTGGGAACATTCCAACTTCTCCTCAAAGTTCCCAAAATTTCTGTCCAAAAACCAAAATATTTTTGGCTAAAAAAATGATTTTTGATGAAAATTTTTCAAAAATTATTTTGGCCAGGGCCCCTAGAGGGGAAAGGCCCCATGCCCTGTTCTCCATCCCCCCATGAGCCAGGCAGGCCCCCTGACCTATGGGTGAGTAGGTGGGTGGCAAGGGCGGGGCTGATGGGTTCAGCTGTCCCCTGTGCAGGGGAATGGGAGGTGCTGGGGTAACTGGAGGGCCCCTGGGTCCCTGCACTGTCACTCTGGCAGATGGTGCTGCAGCCCTCTCCCCATTGACCCCTGCCCGCCTGCTCTCCCCCCAGCTCCCGTTTCAGAAAGACTGCGGCGCGGATGGCCGCTGCGATGACCAGTTAGCAGTCGCCTTCAATTTCTCTGGGTAAGTCACCGAATCCTCCCCGCAAAAACACCCGCCGTGTGGGGACCCGTCCAGCTTGATCACACCTTGGATTTCCAGTGCTGATGGATCCTGGGTGGGGGGCACTGCTGTGGCGAAGATCGCAGCACTGGTGTCCCTGGCTGGGCACTGCCAAAGGAAGGTCACAGATCAGCCAGGGCACTGCCTTGAGGAAGCTCACCCCTTTCTCCCCCCCTTAGCTTGAGCACCCTGGTGGTGGGGGTCACCCCCGAACTCAACATCACCGTCTCCATCCAGAATCATGGGGAGAATTCCTACAGCACCAGGGTGCAGTTCTTCTACCCGGCCGCGCTGTCCTACCGCCGGGTCCTGCTGCTCCAGGTACCCCAATGCACACCGGGCATGAGGGGCAGCCTCTGCAGGGGGCGCTGTGCTGCAGAGAGCAGCCAGGGGTTCAGCAGGGGGCACCATGCAGCAAGGAGTCAGCTGGGAACTCAGTTTGGAGTGCCGTGCTGCACGGAGTGGGTGAGGGCTTGGCCGGTGGTGTTGTGCTGCAGGGAGAGGGCAGGGGTCTCAGCAGGGTGCGCTGTGGCCCCATCTCTCACTGGCTGGTCCCCTGTGCTCAGTCTAACAGGAGGGCTGTGGCCATTAAGTGCAGCTCAGTGGAGGGCTCAGAGGAACATTCTCAAAGGAACAGCACCTGCCACATCAACCACCCCATCTTCTGGAGCGGAGCCGAGGTAAGGTCGGGCCCTGGCCTGTGAACTCCCCAGGGAGGAGCCCAACTGGGAGCAGAGAGGGGCAGTTCCCTGGGGTCAGCCCAGCTGGTGACAAGAGATGTGCTGGGAAAAGCGCCCCGGGGAACCCGGAGAGTCAATGCAAACAGAGCCCTGAGGTCACTCCGGGGCTGGGGTCAGGCCCTGCCGGGGCTGGAAATGAAGGGCCAGACTTGGAGGGCTGGAAATCAGGCCTCACTTGGGGAGATAAGAACAAAGGGAGGGGCTGTTCCTGCCCCCATTTGGGGTCCTTAAAATGATGGTTAATGGAGTGTTGCCATGGCACGGAGCCGACTGAAGTCTCTGGATCCCAAACCAGGTTAACGCTGTTTAATTTTGGACAGGGACAGGGTCATGTTAACGCCCTTTGCTGCTCTGGGGCCATTTATTCCATCTAAGTTCATACAACAGGCCCACCCCCACCCCACATCTTCTCTGCCTGCTCCACCTCCGCAGTCTCTGGCAGTTCCCCAGATCCTAAGTCCACTGGCTCTCTCACCCCCCGTGTTTTCCAGGTTGTGTTTGTTGCCACTTTCGATGTCTCTTCTAATGCCGCCCTGGGAGACAGGCTGCAGATCACAGCCAAGGCCAGCAGGTGAGGGGGCTGTGTAGGGCCAGGGGGCGGGCTCGGGGGCAGGGGAGGGGGCCGTGCATGGAGCAGGACAGTGCAGAGGAGTATGTTGCAGTCTCCTTGCACAGTTAACTGCCTGCGTCTCCTCATATCTGTCTCCCTTGCTCTCCCCTCCCCCCAGTGACAATGGCGGCCCCATCACCGAGCGCATGATTCACCGGGCGGAGCTGCCAGTCAAGTACGGTATCTTCATCATCCCCACCAGGTAGGTCAGTGCAGAGACAGAAGGGAGAGCGCCCCCTACTGGGCCCCCATCCTGTTCTGTACAGCACAGCACCCCCTAGTGTCGCACTTGGTCATAGGTGCCAGCGCTGACTGCAAGGGGAGAGCGCCCCCTACTGAGTCCTTTCTTGCAGCACAGCGCCCCCTTCTGCACATGACACGCCACCCCCACTCTCCAGCCCCATTCATCACACTCCCGCCTCTCTCCTTCTTTCCATCCTTTGCCTCCCCAGCCTCAAGGAGTCGACCGAGTACGTCAGCTTCTCTGCCAAGAAGGCAGGGACAAGCGTGCCAGTGACACATACGTACGAGGTGAGGCCGGCACCTCAGAGTGTGAGGGGGAAGACGGGGCAAGAGGGAAGGAGTGGAACTGCCTGAGTTAGACTTAGTGCATTAGAGCACAGAGGGCTGGGCAGGGAGCCAGGACTCCTGGGTTCTATCCCCAGCTCTGGCAGGGAAGTGGGTCTGAGGGTCAGAGCGGGATCTGGGGATCAGAGGTCCTGGGTCCTCTTCCTGCAGTGCCCTATGGTGAGTCTGTTTCTTTCAGGTCAAGAACCTGCGGCAGCGAAGCGTCCCCATCTCGGTCACGTTCCAGTTCCCCGTGGAGCTGAGCGGGGTCCGGGTGTGGGACGCCTCTGAAGTCGTCCCCTCCAAGGTACCTGCCTCTCCCTGCCCTTGTGTGTGTGTGAGAGATGGGCCCAGTGACACCTGTTCTGCCCTACAGCGCCCCCTGCTGGGGCAGGCTGCCTAGGGGGGGAAGACCCCTGCCCCTGCCTCTGAACCAGCCAGTCCCCTGCCCTGGTGCCGGATTGGTGCTGGTGCCCCCTAGAGGGAAAAGGCCCCATGTCCCGGTCTCACCCCCATTAACACCGTGTGTCTCTCCCTCCCCAGCCCGAGCTGGCTCAGTGCAACAGTGAGGCTGAAACGCCCGGTTTGAAGGACTTTGTGAAGCAGATGAGCGATCGCCCCCTGCTGGTGAGAACACACCGGTGCGGATCCCAGCAGCCCCTTCTCCCTCTGCACTAACAGAAGACAGTGCCTGCAGTGCTAGGCTGGGAGAGGGACCCCTGCTATAGACAAACCCAGACCCTCATGGCCATGCTGAGCCCCTGCACGCCCCCTGACTCACCCGGTGATATCCTTCCACCCTCAGGACTGCTCCGTGGCCACCTGTAAGAAGATCCGGTGCAGAATCGCCTCCCTGGAAATGCAGCAGCCGCTGGAGTTCAGGATCAAAGGGAACGTCAGCTTCCAGTGGGTCTCCCAGGTACGAGAGCTGCCTCTGCCTCTCGGCATCAAGCAAGGGATCCCCTCCCTACATGTGAACAGCCCCGGTGCCCCTCCCCAGAGGTGGCTGCATCTCAGTGCTGAGGAAGGGATTGTTCCTATGTGAACGGCCTGTAAATTGCTCTGGGTCCCCATGGGAGGACACTCTGGGCTGGTTTGTGTCACTTCTGGTCAGGGATGGTGAATTTCTCTGTTCCAGACACAGCAGCAGAAAGTGAGTCTGGTGAGCGAGGCCCGGATTGAATACGAGGAGAAGAAATACACCCAGAAGGAGGGATTCGTCCAGCGCCAGGTACCAGAGTGACTGCGCCCGGAATAGAGAGGGCATCGGCTAGTGGTTAGAGCTGGGAGCCAGGACTCCTCGGTCCTGTCCCTGCTCTGGGAGGAAGTGAGGTCTGGTATATTACAGCGGGGCGGGTGGTGGTGCCAGGACTCCTAGGTTCTATCTCTGCTCTGCGAGGAACTGAGGTCTGGGGGTTTAGAACAGGGGCGGGTGATGGTGCCAGGACTCCTGGATCCCCATCTCACAGCTCCTCTCCCCCAGGTGCAGACGGTGGTGGAGCGCTCCGAGGCCTATAACTACCTGCCCATCATTATGGGCAGCAGTGTGGGGGGCCTGGTCCTGCTGGCTCTCATCACCGCAGCCCTCTACAAGGTGAGTGGGGCAGGGCTTGGACCCCTCCCCCAGGACTTGTCACCCTGGGGGCAGGGCCTGTGGCTCTCCCAGCAGGTGGAGAAGGGGCAAGGGTCTTTCCTCTGGAGGTTCCCACTGCCCGTCCCTTTCCCTCCTCGGCCATCAGCCTGTGTCTGTCTGTCTCTCCCCCTCTCCCCCTTCTGCCTCCTTCCAGCTCGATTTCTTCAAGTGCAAGTACAAGCAGATGATGGAGGATGCTGTGAAAGGCGAGAGGTCTCGCCTGACCCTGAGTGCAACAACTGGCAACCCCCCTGCTTCCGATGCCCCCAAACAATAGCCCCTCATGCACTCCCCTAGATGGGTCACAGAACCCCCAAATTTTAATTGCTGAAGCTGGGCACGCTCACTCTGCCCTCCTCCTTGTCCCGCTCCCCCCACCGGCATGAGTTGCCAATGTTGCTCCCCCCCCAGCTTTGCCTCCCTCTGGGTTGTTCCAGATCCACCCCCGCCCCCTTATGTTTGCCACCTCCAAGATGCAGAGAGACCGGCCATTGCCCATCCCCCAACCAACAAAAGAGATCCTAGTGCCAACTAGAGCTAATTGTTACTCAAATTACGCTGGGCAGAATTCTATTTACCTTTTTATAATTTGGATGGAGAACACTGAGGTTATCTTTCTAGGCATTTTTTTTAGAATTCTATTGATTTAAATTTTGATGTGGAAAATTCTGGGTTTTAAGCATCCCACCCCCATTTTTATCAATTTAAATGATCCCAGTTGTGGGAATTTGTGTGTGTCGGGGGTCAGGCCAGATGTGAAGGTCCGACAGTTATTTAATGGCAGTAGAGGTTGAGATTCAAAAAGTTAAAGCTTTATAACTATGCTGGGAAGGATGGATTTTTATTGGTACATGTTGAATTCATCACACACAGGCAAACTGCGGACAAAATATTTCCATCGCTAATACAGGTCTGTCTCATCTTACGCTGGGGTTACGTTCCGCAGTCAGCGCCTAAAGCGAAAATCGCGTATAGTCCAAATTACATTGAGTGTAATAGCGGGCGGAATCGCCCATACTACAGAAACAGTATTTAAATTGTTATTTTTCTCTGCTTTTTTTTGTTTTTGCTGACCGCGTAAAGCTGAAATCGCGCATGTTAAATGCGCCTAAGATGCGACAGACCTGTAATTGAAATTTTCTGCTTGAGAACATATTGGAGTTTGATTTAAGGCTATTTACTTTGTATATTTTGACACGTGCTGTTAATAATTTGTATTTGAATAGTTATAAAATGTGACCTTTTAAAATCAATGTCTGTTGTCTTTACAGAATTAAGGTCTGATTCCCCTCCCCCCAGTAATTTTCCACAACTGAAAATTTAAATGAATAAAAATCAAAAACTTTCGCTTAGAAATAAACAGTACTGTGCATGGAAATTATTTTTAAAAAGAATTCTGCCAAGCTTATTTATAACCTTTAAAAACACAAACTGTTGACATCACATGTCAAATTGCACAAAGTTATTATCCTGAAAGCAGCCCCAGTGACACCCACACAGCCACAAGTTTTCTACACAATAAGGTGGGACACTAGAAAGTTCTCCAGGAGCATTTTTCTTTCTTTGTCTAGCTGCATGTTTTGATTGTTATCGACGGAAACGTTTTCCCTTGGTTGGGGGGGCGGTTGCGGTGAAACTGATGTTTGCTGACAATTACTGCTAAAAATCTCATCGTCCCAAGCCTACCTAAAACGCGGAGTGAGCTGGCAACAAAATTGACCCCCAAACCCAGCGCCGGCTCTAGGCACCAGCAAAGCAAGCAGTAGCTTGGGGCAGCAAATTTGCAGGGGTGCAAGAATCCAGCATGGGTGCTGAGAACCAACAGGGAGCCCTGGGAGCTGTAGTTCCTTGGTTAGCTCCCTGCCTATAGAGCCAGTCCTGGAGCAGGGAAAGAACTACATTTCCCAGCATTCCCTCGGCCACAATTCACAGGAAAGGGAAGGGGAAGGAGCGTGGAACTGGAACCTCATGCTGCAGCTTGCTGTGAATGGTAGGAACAGAGCCAGCTCTAGGTTTTATGCCACCCCCCAGCCCAGCCCTGGGCTCCCCCCGCACCCCTGTGTTGCCCCAGCCCTGGACTCTCCCCCGCCCACACCCCCTGCCGCCCCAGCTCTGACCCCCACCTGCACTCCCCTGCTGCCCCAGCCCTGGGCTCTCCCCCCACTCGCATCTCCTGCCACCCCAGCCCTGAGCTCTTCTCCCCCACCTGCACCCCAGCTCTAGCCCCCTCCCGCACCCCCTGCCGCCCTAGCCCTGGGCTCTTCCCCCCCACCTGCACCTCCTGCCGCCCCAGCCCTGGGCTCTTCCCCCCCCACCCGCACCCCCTGCTGCCCCAGCCTGGGCTCTCCCCAAAAGAAGGAATTGGGGGGACTAAATGGACGGTGCCCCTGTCTATCTGAAGCCTAGCAAGGGAGGTAGGTGGATCCCACTAGAATTTAAAATGAAAAGTAAGGGAGGGGAGGCTCTACTAGGACCTGGGCAGCTTTAGATACAGTACCAGGCACGTAGGAGGATTTCCACTTCTGAGCCATGGAAGCAGAAATTGACTTTTCTTTTCCAGATTTAGCTAATATTCAGAAAGGGAATCCAGCACCTGCCCTCCAGATTTGAACACCCTCAAAATTCAGGAGTGCTCAAGCTCAATTTGGGCAGCTGTTACTTCATTTCTCCCAAATCAAAGATACTGATCCACTGTAACCTGCTGTAGAAAAAGTAGAAT